TGACTTTAGTTCAACACTCCCAGATCCACTTATGTGATGGTACATCTGTCGCTTTACGTTGATAAAGCAGCATCTACATTAGTGATCTGTCAAGTTTTGAGGGGATTCCTCAGTTGGACTAACAGGAGAGGATCAGACCTGTTATATCACAGAGAGGATAAATGAGGAAAACATTAACCCTGGATTTTGTTTTGAAGGGTTTGCTCACCCAAATTCCATTTAGTGGCCTCTAGCCATGCAGACTGTCATGGTTTTATTTTGTCTGGATATCTGTCTGATTTCTGCCTACACTCCTTTACAGTGGAGGTGAATGAAAAATAACATTTAAAGGATAATTACAGTATATTACAACTTGTCACTTTGTAACAACTCTAATAACATTATACTCTCCAAAGTAAGCAATGTCGCCATATTCCCTGATCTCTGCGATTAAGAGAAGACTAACGGTGCAAGAAACACAAGCAGTGAGATCATCAGAAAGGTTGTAACTATTATTTCACCCATTTCATTTGCTGGGAAAACCAAAATTCTGATATCTGCCGATCCTGAGCACCAGTGCTTTTGTTTTTAATAAATCTGTACATACCTCATTTCATGGAACTCAATTTTATGGAAGGTAACATGAAGATTGCTGTGACTGAATAAATATAACTGATTACAAAATTGGGTGTTTCTGCTAAGGAACAAAGAAACAGTGAATTGATTAGTCGACCAGCAGACAGTAATTTCTTATGTTTTAAAAATGCAACAATTCACTGATAACACTTGCACAAAATAACATTTTTGCTGGTTCAGCAATTTTCATAGTCATAATTTTATGGACCAAATGATTATTTGAATAAACAATCGGCAGATCTATCAATAATGAAAAGAATCCAAACTTGCGTCCCTGAATTAAACTATTTAATGTTGATCACACAAGTGACTGATACCCTATTTGCTTAATCAGGCGCTGATACTGATCTGGCAGATTGGAGCTGTCTCCTCTCAGCCCTATTGCATTGGGAACGGGAAACGGATATATCAAAACCTGAGCCGACAAAGCCCAAACTATCTGCATAGATAGATTCCACTAGAGTGAGAAAATATTGAACCAGCCTTTTAATGTGTGGCTAGAAAGCAGGCTAGTTGCAGAAGGGGCCACGTGTGCAGCGTGTGGCGACTAGAGTAGATTATCTGTGGATTCACAGCAGCGAGTCAGCGAGAGATGGATGGACGGCGTGCGAGCTGCATGCGTCTGCAAACGGTGTCTTCACAGCACAGGCCGCCACTCCACTCGCTCCCCCCACACTGCAAGGCGGGCCACTGTCAAAGGTCTATTAAGGGAAGATTGAGACCCCAGGTGTATATGTGTGAGTAAGTGTGTGTTTGAGTGTGTGTGTTCACATGCTCATTGGTCATGGTCCTATAGTGGAAGATTGAGACCCCATTGCTCCCAGAGCCACTCAACCAACACAACCTGCAGTGGTTTACAATCAGAGCAACACCGTCCATCCATCCCTGCTGACACACACACACAAACACACAAACACACACACTCACGCTCACACACACACACACTAAGGGATACTCCTCAACAGTACAGCTCACTATAGATGTCATTAAACAGTAGCCAAGGTGGAAAAGCTGTGTGACACCGTCATGGACACGGCGGGTGTCACAATGTTGGAACGAGGGTTTAGAGGCAGATTGAGGTGCAGGTCAGGGATGCTGGGGGGGAGGGTGTGAGAGGGGTGTACGAGGCTGCTTGGTGGGAATCGTGGCAGCACCTTTGACAAGCCCTATTTGTCATCTGCCAGGACGCCCAAATAGCTCTGACTGCAATACAGATGGATTGTGGGAGAAAAAGTGACTACAAGCCAGGCAACTAATCCTGTACAAACCCCCTCCCTACCTCCACCCATATACTCTCTCTTGCTCCCTCTCTTGTTCTGACTCTCTCTTCTTTTTTTCTTTTTACTCTGTTTCACTTTCATAACCCAACACGCCCTTTTCACCCACAGAACTAGCTATATGGTTGAAATCAGTAGCATTGTATTGGTAACTATATTTTTGATATCAAAAATCAGAATCGGAACTTATTTATTTTCTTTCCATAGTTTTGACCATCATAAAAGCTCTGAAAACATTGTACTGAAGTAATTGCTGAGATCTGGGAACGAGGTAACATTGCTAAAAGGAAGTCAAGCCGTAAGAAACATGATCAGAAAGTCTCTAAATAAGCTATCAACTCAGTTATATTATATATTTAAAGTCTGTTATTTATATATACACTTAAATGGGGGTGAAATAGAATGTGAGTGCACAGGAAATGTTGGTATTAACCCTTCATTGCACACAATGAAATATAACCAGTATGGCATATTGTAAACTAAACAAGTCAAAGTGGGCAGTGGTTTTACCTTTTGCCTTCGTTTTTTCCAGTAACGTTACACGTTGCAGAGGCATGCAGGAAAAACCTACATTTGCGCAGAGGGATGTTTTTACCACTTGCAGTCGGGTAAATGAGTCAGAAATCGTTCACTCCTTAGCTACTTCCATCATCAGCTTCTGAAAAAATATGTTTAATTCTTCAAGTGAGTTGCTAGATTTACTAGCCCGACATGGCTTTTTACTTGCCTTGGACAAGCGGGCGATCCTTGTTGACCCCTGACGTTGTTCAAAGTTTGTTTGTAGTCAATTTCACTCAAAAAAGTGCGTTTTGGTGAAAGTTATAATCAGGTAACATAGCATCACGCAGACGTGTTGTTGTGTTTCAGGTGTTGCACAGTTTTAATGGATACCAGGCAGAATGGTATAGGCATGGTATAACATAGAATTATAACCCTATAAAGAACCTTCATATGTACATGTCATGTAGTCTACAAGTGTACATGTGCAAGACACCGTGTGTATGTGTGTGTGTGTGTGTTTTTGTGTACGTGCGCGTCCTAAACATGCAGTCAGTACCCCTGCAGCCCCCCCAGCTCGCAGTGATTTGTTCAACAGTAAATGTTTGTCTGAGATGAATTCTCCAGCTGATCCAGAGCTGCATCCCGGCTGACAAATGAAACCAGCGCCTGGGGGGAGGAAGAGTGAGAGGGAGGAGTGGAGAGAGAGAGAGAGAAGCTGGAATGTGTAGAAGTGGAAATCAAATCATTTTATTGTTTGTCACCGCGGCCCTCGTGGTCACGGTTTGTTATTGGACGCTAATTAAAACGGCGACAATCCTGACAATTGGCAATTAAAGACTTGTGAAAGAGGTGATAGGAAATGAGCTCCTCACCGGGGGTATAAACTCATTTGTTATCCTTTTTTCACACCTCTCTTCACTCTGTCTTTTCTTTACTCATTAGGAAGACAGAGTGCTGTCACTGACCACCACAGTGAATGATTTGTAGGAGGGGAAGAGGTAGTGCAGATAATGACATGCAAGAGGGGTTTTTTTGGGGGGTGGAATAATTTAAATGAATACCGTGAGCAACTGATTCATGTTGCATTAAATCTCCCTATTCAGACTCTAGTAGTGGAAGGTTTTCTACCTTTTCATGAAGTACCATGCAGCTTGTGGCAAATTAATGTATACATTTTTACATATGTATTGTATGTATGTACACAAAGCTTTTATTCCATGTCCGTGGAAGCTTGGTTATAAGAATATTTGTGGTTTACTACATCTCAGATTGTATTTCTGTCAGCTTGTCCTCTACGTCTATTGGTAAATGTTGTACACATCAAGTAAATTGCTGAGATCTGGGAACATCATTAAAATAAGTCAGATACAAGCAGTCAAACCCACAGAGTAGCCAAACTTAACTCAATTACACAAGACTAATTTGATATTAGTGTGCACAATAGGAAAAGTAGGACGAGATGTGGATCTTTGGTTGAAGCTAAATTGAGTTGGAATTAACTTTCTTTCAGCTTCATTTGGAAGAGACAACAGAGGTGACGGTATAATTTTGTGATAGACCAATCAATCGGACGGTCAGTTGTGCCGATTATCTGGCATTTGGAGATAATCGCCATTGGCTGATGCCTGCGCTCACCAGGCCGATGTCTGCAGGCAGCCTCGGCAGTATGGCTGCTCTGGAGCGATGTTAGCGCTCCCCTTCGTGATTTTTTTGGAAGGTGGTAAAAGAATTGGTTTCAAGCGTTGTACTGTAACTTTCATACATCCTGCTGTAAACATATGCCTGAACTTACATCCAAACACACACCTCCTACTATGGTACTGCTCTGCTAGCTAATGCTGTTTTATATGATGGGAGGAGTTAGTTGGTTGTAACGTTTACATGAAAAGAAAATTTTGATTAACACTCTTAATTTATTTTTTTTAACGTATTTGGCATATACTAATAGATAACAGATCAATTACTGCAGGGACACAAGATTAGAACTCGGATTCACAATGTACCTACAGGGCTCCTGGCCCATGTAGTCTCTGATCTTGGTAAACTGATGTAAACAGGGACTTAGACGACCCACAATGCAAATGCTATTCTGCGTGCGAGTACGTCAGCCAGCATAGGCCATCATAAAACAACATGATGGATACACAGCCAAATAAATAAATAAATAAATAAAAACACTTAGTCCTCTTTTTTTTTCTATTCCGATCTCTCTACTCTTACGCCTCTTCTCTGATGGATCTGTAAAATGATATAACGAATGAGACTTAAAGTGAGAAGGAGGGAGGGAGACCAGGCAGGAGGGATGAAGGCAGCGAGGAAAGAGACAGAGGATATGATTTATTAGGCTCATAAAAATTCTGCCTTTGTTATTCCCTCTCATTTTTATATGTGAAGCTTATTAAAGAGCACACCTGCCAGAGTCCTCAGACAAACTTGTGTGTGTGTGTCTGTGTGTGTGTATGTGCAGTTTTGTGCTTTCAGAATGATGAGTATATGTGCGTTTGTTCACTTACCGACTGGATGTTTAACTACTGCGTCTGTTTGTGTGCGTGATCAGATTTTCATTTGCAGACTTTCATACTGATCTGTCATCCTTGCTGTCCTCAGGTCCCGCCTTCTCCTCCCACCGTAGCCCCGCCTCTTCTCAGCGGGTGTTCAGGTCGCCCTACAACTTGGTGACCCGCCCAGGCTCTGGCACCGCACACCCACTCCACTACAACCCTGCCCTCTCTTGGAGGGCCAAGAGGATCCAGACTGCCAGGTAATCCGCGTTAACAAAGACAAATACACACACACACACCTCCTGCGGGTCTGGGTTTAATGTGTCTCAGTGGCCAGAATCCTTCAGCGCAGAGCAGCGCCCTGTCTTTTATGTCACCGTCATGTGCAGCATGAGTGGACGAGGTCGGAAATTTATGGTGCTCATTTTTACACAGTAGGTAACCCAGAGAATAAACCATTTACATCACTGTGCTCCTCCCATTAATTTACTGTACACCAGCAGGGAAAGCTTCTCACCCAGGACAGATGCAGAGAGAGAGGAAGGGTGAGTGGGTCTGGTTCTCAATGTCGTTACAGTTCCCATCCCTTCTTTGTCCCCTCGTTCTTCTATCATTCTCACATGAGATTTAATCCACCAGTGAGTCTGGACCTCACAGTGAGTAAAGTATCTGCATAGGGCTGCAACTAATGATTGATTTCATTTTTGTTTTGGTTAAAATTCTTATCTCTAAATTCTTTGACAAATCTAGGCTATAAAATGTACAAGTTCAGTAGGGAAATCTGCAGATTGCTTATTTGACTGAACAAAATCCAACTAGATTTACTTTACAATGATACAAAAGAAAAAACATAATATACATATATAATATATACAATTGAAATATTATCAAAATTGCAATATGGCCCAGTGCAATATCTAAATCACAATGTTTTGATAAAGGTTAAATGTGTGACAGCATTATAAGGAAGAACTGTAGCTCTGAGAGAGCTGCTCTGGCCTTCAGATCTTGTTCTCCAGATGTAAGAAAACATGTTTGTTTGGTGTGTGGTTTGTGAATCATATCGCAATCTCCATATCTGGCCTTTTGACTTTTTACCATATATTTAGCCCTATAACATACAGAGGTGAGAAGATCTTTTTTTTGTGTGATATGAGTGGTTGTGATGGTGAGGTCATCTCTGAGGGTAGAGAGTTAATTAATGTTTATGAGGAGGTCATTATTGGGTGACAGACATTAACTTAATGGCTTATTCATGGCTTTATCACTACGGAAAAGACACACCACAATCATGTTTATTAACCAGGTGGTGTTGAGCTTTTTTCACCGGCAGTGGTCGCGTACTGTGATCGTGAAAGCGCTGAACAGGTTGTTGTGGTTGGTTTTGACGATCTGTTAATGTGTAGAGAATTAACAGGATGTTCTTTCTGGCTGAGGTATGACTAGACTCTCTCACATGCACACATACACACCAAACTACATGTGGTTCAAAGTGCCATGAGGGTACCTATGTCTATTCTAGGAGTCGTTCTGTTCACAAAAGAGATACGTATAGCTGCAACTAATGACTCATTCCACTGCCACTAAATCTGTTAAAAATTGTTTTTGGTTAATTGTTTAGTTCATAAACTATCCAAAAATTTTACATTTAAATTTTTTTTTAGTAGAATTCTTCATCTCAAGGACATATTGGTTATTTGTTTGTGTGTGTGTGTGTGTGTGTGTGTGTGTGTGTGTGTGTGTGTGTGTGTGTGTGTGTGTGTGTGTGTGTGTGTGTGTGTGTGTGTGTGTGTGTGTGTGTGTGTGTGTGTGTGTGTTTAAAAGGCCCTCTCTACAGTGCTTGGTTTGTCCGCTCTTACGTACATTTGTATCTATTCTAAATGTCCCTTGATTTCTTTTTGACCCATTATTTTTTCTCATTTTAATGCTCTTATCAACATGGAAAAGTGGATCAGCTTTTTTATTGAAAAATCATCCATTGTCGCCTGGCTTTGACGAGGGGGCGGAGAATTCTCATCAGCTGTGTGTTTGGCCATCAAGTGGTATTTCAGACTGGACGTGCTGCGATGATAGCTCAGTTCACAACAACAAAACACACAGATCCCTTTGGTCTTGTCAATGGAACCATTTGGCAACTTTTTAAAAGCAAACTTTCCATTCAGAATATTATTGGCATCCATTTCAGCGTCTCGCGCTCGCCATTCACTCAAAACGTTACATCTACTACTCTTAAACAAGTGTGTGCGGCGTGCCTGTTGTTTTGTTTCCGGTCTAGCTAGATCCGGTGTGGTGTTGTAGTTTTTCTAACGTTACTAGTTGTTGCAACAGCATGGGAAAAAAAACTACAAAGTGTGCTAGGCCAAAAAGAAAAACGTTAATCTCGTGATAGAAAAATGTACGCCGTTAAAATGGGTTTGCGTTAACGCCGTTAATAACGCGTTTAACTGACAGCACTAATATTTAGGTGATTTTTAGGTGACTAATGAAAACATTCTTATGAATATTATATTCCATTTCTCAATGGTAAAACTTGAAAAACTCTTCAGAAGTCCCTTGTTTGTGTCAAAATGCACAGACCTCACTTCCTTTAGTAGAAAGTAGTTCCAGTGAAGATTGTTTACAGTGAGGACTGTGGAACATCCAGAGTAAAATGGACTTTTAACTTATTCAAATACAAAAACTGCATACTCTCACACTCTTTTCTCTCGTTTGGTCAGTGATCATCATCAAGGCGAGTTAGCTTAACTGCCACTTTTGTTTCATATTGCGTTTAGTGCACTTGGACTGCATGGTTTGGCACACTAAGAGCCTTCACTATTTATAGAATGGAGAATGAAGATAATAAACTCCTAATGAAATCGTGACACTCCAAAAAATTAAAAACTAAATGAAATTACAGGATTCCCAAAGATTCCCAGCCCTCTCGTGAGCACCACAAACAAAACTCCCAAAATATCTGAGGCAGGTATCACAAAACCATCTTTTTTATCATGTGGGTGACCTTTAGGTTATCTTTTGGTTGAGTATGTTTGGGTATCCCTTTTTATAATTAAAGCAGTTTTGTCCTTATGTGCATTTGTGTGTGTTGGTGATGGGGGGTTCATTTGTGTAATCCAGATTTGGTGAGACAGAGCAGCCTGGACTGTGGCTGGACTCGGCCTCTGGTGACTTATTACTATTCATTTAGCTGCTGCAGTAAATATTGATTCATCAAGGGATTTTCAATTTGAGCCCCGTGACATCTTGTGAAATATCACCTAGTGTGTAGAAGTGAGGAAAGAGATAGGGAGGGAGGGGGACAGGTCAGGTCCCCAAGGATAGTGGATTACCCCCCTCACCCACCCATGCAGTCCTTTCTCATGCTTATCTATCTGTTTAACTCCAAAGACCCTCCACTTTTATCAGTTTGAGGCTATTGAGTGGAGCATGAGCTCATATTCTTTGCTCTTAACTACTGAGTGCTGCTCTTCATCTTTGGCCTATCAGACCCACTGATCCCTGTCCTCATATGTCCTCTGCTCTTATCTCTGGTGCCTGATCATAGCTGAACCCCTCACTCAGAGCCATGCATCTAAAAACAAACCCTAGACCCAGCCTTGCGTAGTGTTCAGAGGTTCCCAACGTCTTTAATCTGGATAACCTGCATGCATTCTATAAGACATTGTTACATATATAAAATAGGTCTCTAGAGTAGAAAATCAAGCTGTTCTTTTCAAATGGTCCTTATAACCCGGCTAACAGATATAATAACGTAACCGTCACAATATCAAAAACTACTCAGATGCCCCGGAGGGCATTTTTATGCTCTAATTTCTTCATTCAGTCAACTTTTATTTAGATAGTGGTCATCTCATACCAAAACAATTGGACAAAAAAACTCACCAAAACCTTCTTTGTTAGTCTTTCCACAGTCTTGTTTGGCCAAAATTAACCCTTAATTCACTTAATTAATTATTAATTTATTTAATTAATAATTAAAAAAGAGTTAGTTGTTAAAATATTTGTTAAAAAAGGCTGCCATGGACACAACTTTAAGCTAACGTTCATCCTTCAGGACAAATCCGGCCATCAAAATCCAGTACAAGTGCTTGCTTTTTCCACTGACAGGTTCAGATTGTTATTCTGTGTCTGACATTATGGAAAGGATCCCTACAGAGATAGATTGGTTTCACCAGAAACAGCCGTAATATAACTATCACTTGGCAGAAGACTCCAAAAATGACGATTTTACTTTGCACAACATTGTAAAATCGTAACTTCATTCAAAATGGACAGAAGCAAAATAAAACTCACCAAAACCGTCTTTTTACTGTTCCAACAATCACCAACTCTGATTTGGTGAAATAAATCCTTAATTCACAGATGTAGATGATAAAAACAGTTTTGGTCGCTCTACTTAGCTGCACACAGAGCAGACCGGCTATATAAACAAACCACAGAGAGGCTGCGATAGAAACACAGGCAGTCACTCTGTCAGGACACTAGTTCACTTTATCTTCACGTAGCAAATAATTGTTTGCTGCTATGTTTTAATGTTATATATATGACCTTAAGAAATGAAAACTTGCGTGGACAGAAGACACGAGAGCACCAATAAGGCACCAATAAGGCCGGTGATATTGGCTCCAACCAATATCATGATATTAATACGAATATTTTCTGTATCTACAGTATATAGTATCGCAAATGGCAAATGTTTGCAAGATTACATTTAAAAACTGTTATGCTTTACATCAGTGGAAATTCTTGCGTAGTAGTTTTTAACTAAACATCATTCATTTGGGAAATTTGGGCAAAAGATGTAAAACGATGCCACGAGAAGATAAAATGTTCTAATACTGAATTATACTTCCAGCTCTAAGCAGAGATAATACTTATTTAACACCTGCAGAGTATAAACATGAAAAAGATTTAGAACACATATAGAGGCTTTTTGAGGCAGTCTTGAGATCTTCAGTGAGCATTTTTAGACTACAGAAATCATAAGACATGCTGTTCATTTGCATCTGTCGAGAACAGATTTTACTAGGACTAATCTAGTCCTATTATATACTATACTAGTACTATATACTATACTAATCTAATAGGACTAAAAACGTTCTAATCCAAATCTTTGTAAATCCTCCTCCACTACAGATCAAGCTAAGTGGATAGAGCAAACAGAACACACATTCTTTATTTTGAGATTTACACCAGCCTGTTGTCAGTATCTGTCTGATTAGATTATTTGTATTGCACCTTTGGACACAATCAAGGCAAA